CCACTTCTCGCATCCAACCTTTACTTTAATCCACATAATTCTTGAATTTACACATTCATATTCTCTTTTCTCCTTCCATAACTGATCATTTAACATTACTGCTACCCCTTCCTTTGCTCTAACTCTCTCAGATACTCCAGATTTAATCCCATTTATTTCCCCCCACTGAAACTCTCCTACCCCCTTCAGCTTTGTTTCGCTTAGAGCCAGGACATCCAACTTCTTTTCATTCATAACATCAGCAATCATCTGTTTCTTGTCATCCGCACTACATCCACGCACATTTAAGCATCCCAGTTTTATAAAGTTTTTCTTCTTCTCTTCATTATTATAATAATAATAATTCCTCAGCTGTGGTCTGTTGTTGTTCCAGTTGAAGGTCTTGCAGCTCTTCAGTGGTTAGCTCTTCCCTGTGGTGATCCAGCAACTCTCCCACATCCTGGCCACTCACATCCAACCCCATGGACTTCCCCAAAGACACAGTAGATTCCACAATAGGCATAGGGTCATCAGGGTCACCCTCAAACCCTTCAAAATCCTTCTCAAGGACACATTCTGGCCACAATTTTCTCCAAGCAGAGTTCATTGTTCTGGAAGTCACTCCCTGCCAAGACTTATCTATAAGGCTTATGCAATGGAGGATATTGAAGTGATTCTTTCAGAACTCTCTTAGGGTCAATTCAGTGTGTAAGGTCACTTCAAAGCACCTTTGAAACATTGCTTTGGTGTAGGGTTTTTTGAAGTATGCAATGACCTGCTGGTCCATGGACTGGATGAGAGGAGTGGTATTAGGGGGCAAGAGCTTCACTGTGATGAAACTAAGCTCCTCCAACAATTGGTCTTCCAAGCCTGGAGGATGAGCAGGAGCATTGTCCATTACCAGGACGCACTTGAGTGGAAATTGCTTTTCCAGGATATATTTCTTCACACTCAGGCCAAACACATCATTGACCCACTCAATGAAAATTTGCCTCGAGACCCATACCTTATTGTTAGCCTTCCACATCACACACAGTTTACTCTTGATGACATTGTTTTTCTTGAACACTCGGGGATTTTCAGAGCGATACACCAGTAAAGGCTTCACTTTGAAATCCCCACTAGAGTTACCACAGAACAAAAGAGTTAGCCTATCCATCCTGGCAGTGCCTTTTCCTATTGCATGTTGTAGGTCCTCTTTGGCATTTTCTTCCAAAAGAGGCCTCTTTTGTCACAATTGAAGACTAGTTGGGGGAGGAATCCTTCAGCCTCTATGTACTCCTTGAATTCATCAACGAATTCTTTGACCCTATATTTGTCTGAACTTGCAGCCTTGCCCTGCCTTACCACACTGTGTATACCAGTACGCTTCTTGAATTTGTCAAACCAGCCTCTGCTGACCTTAAATTCACTTACAGCAGCACTCATTCCAGGCATTTTCTTTGCAAGATCCATGTGCAACTGCCTTGCTTTTTTGCAAATTATTGCCTCCACTGCACTATCTCCCGCTAACTGTTTTTCATTGATCCACACCAACAACAATTTCTCAACATCTTCGATTGTTTGCGATCTCTGTTTCATTAGCACATTTACCCCTTTTGCAACATCAGCTTTCTTGATTTCTTTTTTCTTTGCCAGTATGGAACTAAGCATTGATGCGGACTTCCCGTACATCCTGGTGAGATCAGCTACGCATATGCCACTTTCGTACTTTGCTACGAGTTCTTGAATTCTGTCGTGTTTCTCTCCTTTATCAAAGGCCTGGCGCTCGGAACTTTCTTTGGCCCCATGGTGGTTTATTTAGCAGTTGCACTCAATAAATAAGCACAAAAAACAATGGATTATTACGAAATGTTTCAGCTGAATGCGTGGGAGTAGTGCTCACTCATCAAGAAACAAAGCCAGACTAAGTCAGAATGTGTGGGATGCTTGTTGTTGGCGCGGGCAGGTGGACACATTTAGTACAGCGGACCATTGCCAACTCTATGAAAACCGAGCGGATGTACAAAAACTGGGACAAAATTTCTACAAAAAAAAAAATTGTCGAAGACCAAATCCTACAAAAACCAGGCCATATGAAAACCGAGATTCCACTGTACACTTCTGTACACATTTAAAAATATACCAGAGATGTTATAAATGGTGCAAAGGTGACATTAAATCAATATCAGAGATGGTTTACACAAACTCACTACCATTATAGTATGCTCCTCACTTAGCGGCGAATTCGTTTAATGATGTGGTCTTAGGAACGGAACTCCGTCGTTAAGTGAGGAGAAGCTGCAATTGATTGGGCGATTTCTTGTGCTCAATCGATAAAATAGAAGTATTACTAGTGAAATAGCTAAGAATTTGGTCGACTGGTATAAAGTAATTGGCCTAAAATGGGAGTCAAAGTGGGCAAAATTGCCGACGTGTAAATATCGCTGACCCAGGAAAATTCGCAAGGGTGTAATTTCATCACTTTTTCATCAAATTTTGTACTTTTTGTTGTATTACCCTCAGAAATAGATTCTCTACCATTTCATAAGAAAAAATAAGAAAAAATTTTTGGAGAATTCTTGGACCCTGTGGACAAGTTTCAGATCGAGGATCTGGATCCTGAAAGGGTTAAGTGAGCAACAGAGTTACGTCTAAAAAAAATGCATATAGAGTACACACATTACTTTTTTTTTTTTTTCCAACATGGTTGGCAAAAAAGTATGGATCTAATACTGAGGAGGTGTAGACCCAAAAAAAAAAATATCTTTCAGATATTGGATACGTAATCACTGTCTATGAAAGAGGTGTAAACATAATATTTTGCAGGGCAAAAAAAATTTAATGTGCACTTAAGTGTAGGCAAAGAACTTTTTCCCATCTGGACTCAAATGTATAAATGTTTTCCCTAAATGGTTTGACAGTATTGCCATGCTCACAACAAAGCTGCCATGAGTGTCCCCCTTTTCTAGGCAACTTTGTGTAGAAAATAAAAAGAGAAACATTTTTTAAGTTAAAATATTTTACCATAAACTTATAGTAGGGTGAAAGTTGTTGAGGTGTTTTGATAATGAGAGGATAATGAGAAACCCGATGCCAAGAGTGTAATCTGTGGGTGGAAGGAAGGCGGGTGTAGGGGTCGCCTAGGAAGGTTGGAGGAGGGGTAAAGGAGGTTTTTTTGTGCGAGGGGCTTGGACTTTCCCGCAGGCATGCGTGACGTTTTGATAAGTGAATGGAGACAAATGGTTTTTTAATACTGACGTGCGTTGGAGGTGAGCAAAGTAACATTTTTGAAGGGATTTAGGGGAAACCGGCAGGGCCACTTTAGCCCGGAGATGGGAAGTCAGTGCCTGCACTCTGAAGGGGGGGTGTTAAGTTGCGTTTAAAAAAATGTAGTGTAAAGCCCCTTCTGGGGAAGAAATGATGGATGAAAAAATGGTAAAGTTTTTTTTTTTCGGCCACCCTGCCTTGGTGGGAATCGGCCGGTGTGATAATAAATATAAAAAATGTTGGCCATCTCCTACTGAGGCAGTGTGACCCCCCAAAAAAAAAAAAATCCTTTCACCATCATTCATACATAATCACTGTCTTTGCAGAGGCATGTAAAGACAGTAATTATGTCACTCCAAACAGAAAATATCCCTAACTCCTCCTCTAAAGTGTAGGCATTGTACTTCCCATTTCCGGACTCAAATCCTACTAACCTGTTTCCCTAAATTGTTTCACAAAATATTGCCCTGCTCACACTCCAACAGCTCTCCATTTGTCTCCACTCCTATCTAACACACTTACTAAAAATAAAAAGAAGAAACACATTTTTTACCTTAAAATATTTTTGTCCTTAACTTATAGTGAGTGGTGAATATATTAATTGTAGGAAGTCTGAATAAATGAAGAACAGGTATAATTGAGAACCACTGTATTAGCAAAGCGCTGTAAAGCGGGGCCCTCCTGTATATGTGTATGAATTTGTATGTGTGTGTGTGTGTGTGTGTGTGTGTGTGTGTGTGTGTGTGTGTGTGAGAGAGAGAGAGACTCAGCAATCAACATTTGCACCAATAACTCACTACAGTTGTGACCGGGTGTGGAAGTGTGAATTGCTCATTACTCTAAAATTTGTTCATGATTGCAGCCATGTATAAACGTAAGTAACCATTCTTACAGTATTCATTACCTTTGTAACTTGTGAGTTCATTACCTTGTACCTAGTTCAGCCATCAAAACTTTGGAGCCCGGTCCCTGGACCCATTGTGTACCTCTGTAATCTGTAAATACCTTTGTAACTTGTCATGATTGTGACTAGACCTACCTGGAGTTCATTACCTTTGTAAATTGTGAGTTCATTACCTTTGTAAATTGTGAATTCATTACCTCTGTAACTTGCTCAGCTATCAAAACTTTGAGGCCCAGTCCCTGGACCCATTATGTACCTCTGTAATCTTTTGACTACCGCCCACAGGATGAGTATGGGGCGCATAATAAACATATTAAACTAACTAACTAACCTGTATACAGTACTTGTGTATATAAAGTATACACTTTCTTTCAACACACCGGCAGTATCCCACCAAAGCGGGGTGGCCCAAAAGGAAAAACGAAAGTTTCTCCTTTTACATTTAATAATATATACAGGAGAAGAGGTTACTAGCCCCTTGCTCCCGGCATTTTAGTCGCCTCTTACAACACGCATGGCTTACAGAGGAAGAATTCTGTTCCACTTCCCCATGCAGGTAAGAGGAAATAAACAAGAACAAGAACTAGAAAGAAAATAGAAGAAAACCCAAAGGGGTGTGTATATATATGCTTGTACATGTATGTGTAATGTGACCTAAGTGTAAGTAGAAGTAGCAAGACATACCTGAAATCTTGCATGTGTATGAGACAGAAAAAAAGACACCAGCAATCCTGCCATCACGTAAAACAATTACAGGCTTCCGTTTTACACTCACTTGGCAGGACAGTAGTACCTCCCTGGGCAGTTGGTGTCTACCAGCCTACTACCTAGGATAAAATATACATATTTGCATGATTCTCTTTGCCAGGGCTGGGTTTCCCAAACAACAAGCAGCACAAACTATCATCAAGTCCATTTGTAACTACTTCGTCAACGTCATGTCCTCATCATTGAAACAGATTTACTTCGTCCTCTATGATATGGAAAGCATCGGGGCTTACACAGCAGAACTAGCAAAGCTGGATTCTTAAAGGTAAGGATGTGAAGAAGGCTGTCAGCTGCATTTTGTAATTTGTTAGTAATATTTTTCATGGCTTGCACCTTTATTTTTATCACACCACTATTAATTATATAGTATGATGACCTCACTTGTTTACCAACATATATGGGAAGCAGTATGAATGAAATAGGGGAAATATACTTTTTTGCTGGATCTTGTAATTTCTGTTTGCTGTAATGAACATGCAGGATAGTGACTAAAGTACTGTAATAATTCTTCAAGTGAACACCATTGTCTCATCAGCACCCATGCTACAACCCTTGTGGACTTGCATAATAATAATCTAGATTTAATTTCAGTGAAGTTTTTTAAACAAAAATTCAGAACAGTGTGCAGTATTCTACTGTACTCAGAGACCAGTGCCTTCATGACCAGAGGCTAAGATAATATGTACAGTGCAGTGTATGTTATACTCCAGCCATCATGAGTTTCAAAAGACCACACAGTTGCAGTGGTGTTGAAAAATCTCACATCTCTCTAGATTTATTTTTACTAAAAATGTAGGTGTGTCAGTTATGCACAAAATAATCATATAAAAAATGCATTTTTTAAATCTTTAAAAATATAAAATTCCAGTTTCAGTCATGCAGTGAGCACAGAGCTAAACTTGAAGAAAAATGTGCATTACTCCTCTAAATATGAGTGTACCGTAGTGCACACATTCCAAAGGGTCTTACTAAAAAAAGCTGCAATTGGTAAAAAAAAAGAAATATCTAAAATTTAATCATAAACACTTTTAATGACTATCCACTAGCTCATATACGATACCTGGGCACAGGCCAGTGACCAGCAGGGTCACCATGAGCATAATAAGACAATATGTACTATGTCAACATTTGTTGCCCAAGACCTCAGCTGGCTACCAGCAGATATCAGAAATATTGCAGCAACAAAAGTATTAGTGCTTGGCAAAGGCAACTGTCAAGAGAAAACTTAACAGTTGCCTTTGCCAAGCACCAAATCAGCCAAGCTGTGTAGGCCAATGATTAGTTAACAGCAGTAGCTTGGTTGAACAATCAACAAAGAAGCCTGGTCACAAGTTGGGGTGTGGGGTGGAACCCTTAAACCCAGTTACAGGTGTACATTTCACAGGCACACTATTCACTGGTTGTGATCTGCATCTCCCTCCCTCTGTCTGCCAGCACTTGTTAGTTTTTAAACTCCATGGACATGGTATGGGCCCTTACAAGCCCCCCCCCCCTCCCTCTCTCTCTCTCTCTCTCTTCTTGTCTCTCTCTCTTGTCTCCCCCTTCCTTGTTTTCTCTCTCTCGCTCTCCTCTCCTTTCCCCCTTTTCTCTCTGTCTCCCTCTCTCTCTCTTCTCCTCTCTGCTCTCTCTTCTCTCTCTCTCCCCTTCTCCTCTCTCTGTCTTTCTCTCTTCTCTCTCTCTCTGTCTTCTCCCCTCTGTTCTTCTCTCCCTCTCTTTTTTCTCTCTGTCTCTCTCTCTTTCTCCTCTTTTTTTTTTTTTTTTTTTTTTTTTTTTTTTTTTTTTTTTTCCGTTTTTCCCCTTGTCCCCTTTCTTTATTGCCCTTTTTCATTGGTCCTCTTTTGCCCTAAAGCTTTCCTCCCTCTTTAAACTTTTTTTTCTCTAAACTTTTGGACCATCTGTGGGCCCTTTTTTTTTCCGGTTTTTCCCCTTCTCATTATGTTTACGGTTCCTTCTCCCCGGGGTATATACCGGGAGTATTTCGGGGGGTCGCCGGGGTTTGCTGCTTTTCCCCCTTTTCTGGCTTTTTCCGCTTCCTCAATTCCTTTATTTCTTTGGCCGTACTCTGGCCACCCAATCCCCCTAGTGGGTCTCTAAATAAGACACCCCCCCAAATGGGTCCGGGGAAAGCCCCGTCGTCGTTCTCCTCTTCGCGTGCAAAGGGGGGGGCCCCCCAAGAAACTACTCAATTTGGACATTTTGTGCCCCGTCAGGTTTTCCCCCATGTCCAAAAAATTGGGAATCGGGGAACGAAGTTCCTCTCCTTTTAAAATTTTAAAAAGGGGCTTCAGGAGTTTTAGTCAAATTTCCCCCAAAGGATATAAAACTTTTTCCCGGGGGCCCTCGTCCTTCACCTATACTCGCCACTTCCATCCCAAAAAAACCTCATTCTTTTTTCAGGTCAATGTTATTGCCACTATTCTCCCCATTGGATAAGCTATCATTGATGATGTCCTTAGACAGCTGGGTTTCCCAATAAATAATGTCAGACATCGACTCTCATCAGTATGGGAGGGATAAATTCGTTAAGTGACATTCCATACATTGACCCAGACACTTCTCTTTCGCTTCCCTATGATCCTTGCTATTCCTCCATGGGACTA